TCAAACCTACATTTAAAAATCCTAAGAACTATTGGTGGGACTAGATACCCTGTCACAGATGATCTGAGTGCTGCTGAATTCGCCTGTGCATTGGATTCATGGAGAATTTTCACATGAATCACATTCAGCTCTGCAAAGCATCCCTTATGGCAAATTCTAGTGATCTGGGGCACCGCGGGCAAAAAGAAAACAGTGTACTTCTGTATACACAATTTTATGTGTGGTTAATTTTCCCCCTAGAACATTAAAGCAGTAAAAAATACTGAGATAATGAAAAAGAGATATATTAAAACTTACAACCTTAAATTAAGCTTAAATGCCTTATTTATACTCAAGTAAGATTTCATTATTATTTGATTTCAAGTTAACCTAATTAAAAATGATTTAAGATTGTCACTGGTCAAGAGAAACTGCCAAACATAGCAATTGTCTCGGTTGAAATGAGATAAGCAGAGGAGATTTTTAAAATATGATTGATGAGTAGCTTGCATTTAAGCCAGCGGCACTCATTTTACCTTGGGCTAGGTTCGGCACTGGTCTTTTAAAAATGTTGACATTTTATTCACTGTTGATTTTGAAGATTAACTTTCATTTTGCAAAGTATTACATTGCAACTTAGTTAGTGTCGACGGCTGAGTGTGGGGACGTGCCCTTCTGTTTTGTCCCTAGGTAAGCCCCTCCTTTGCTGTCCCCTGGACCCAGCCCTGCTGTGATACCTTTGTTCTGTTGCTCATGCAGACATCTGACCTGCCTTTTCCTCTTCAAGTAACCTGCCATCCCCATGTCCAACTTCTTCACATTCCCCAATCAAAGGGAGGGATCTATTTTAAGGACCTTTGAAGAAAAGAGTATATAGGGGCAGGGTCTTTAGCTCAGTGGTTCCACCGCCTGGCCTGCAAGGGCAAGGACCCGAGTTTGAGTCCCTGTACCAAAAGAAAAGGAAAAAAGGTATATAATTCTAATAAATATGCCAGACAAGCAATTTTTTGAAAAGTCTAAGTTTTGTATTTTTCGTAATAAAAAAAATCTCTTCTAATCTCCCTTTGGCATCCCATTTTGGTTGAAGCCAAAAATTTAAGGAGACAAGCACATGAAAAAATGATGACTTCTCCTTACTCTTCTCTAATTTTTATGTTGCATAAAGAAGGGAAAAACCCAAATCAAAACGAAACATTCAGCCCCCAAATATCACTAAAAGTTTGCTATTTCAAAACAAAAATAATAATAAATGTTTTCTTGTTCTTGGTTTTACACTCTTTAAAACTTGTTTCTTTTCCCCTCCAAATTAAATCTTTTGCAGTTTTCCCTTGGCCTCACAGGAATCTAAAGCTTTATTTAGGTATGTGAACTTGGGAAAAAAAATAGAAGCTTCAAGAAAAAAAAATCAAAGTGTCTGAAGCATATAAGGAGCTTTGCTTTTAAGAGTCTCAGGCTCTACCGACTGAGCTAACCTGGTGCTAGGAGCTTTGCTTTTAAAAACAATGGCACAACTTCAGGTGGATGAGTTCTGTCCTGGTCCATATTACCTGGTACATCACTATCTCATGGAAATCCTGAGAGAGTCTTTGGTAAGTAGCTGTTAATGAACCAAATGGTGAAGTTTGAAGTAACCCAATAATTGTTAACATTTACTAAGTATTTCTTATAAGTCGGACACTATTTTAAGAAAACAATAATTGTATATAAAGTTGGTGCTACTTTCATCTCCAGTTTACAGATAAAGAAACTGAGTCAGAGACACTAATTAATTTACCCACGATCACACTACTAATAATATTGGAGCTGGAATTTGAATTTAGGAGATCTGGCTCTAAACTTGAAGCTTGTACCCAGTGTGTAAAATTACATAAGTGTAGGGTATTATGGGTAATTGATATGCCAAGGAAGCCAGCTCCTTATGTCAGGTTGGGGTATTGTAATTTACCATCACTCTAATCTGTGACTACAGTAATCTATTGTCACTTGTAACCCTACATCACTATTTCTTGACTTAAGTGTCACTTGCCAACCTGCTATTTAAAGGCCTCTTCCTACCTTCCTTATCATGTCCCCAGACAGGCAACACGTTCACTCTTAGAGCCAGACCTTAGTTTCCCCAAATCCAAGCCTGGTTGCACCCTCATCTTCCAAGATTACTGCAAATCCTTCCCCTTCTCAGAAACCATCCTTGACATTGCAAGTCACACCTCTTTCTCTTCTTTGAACTCCAAGTGGATTTATGATCTGAAACATTGTTTCCTTTTTTTCTTTAGCAATGCAAAGATAGCTATTGAAGATCAAAAATCACCCACCTCAAGTCCCTGTGTGATTGTAAGTGCTGTACATAGTATCCAGTGTGGTGGATATGAGAGAGAAGTTCTTAGCCCTGGCTGTTCACTGGAACCATGTGAGGAGTTTTTGCAACTCCCAATGCCCAGACTGCACCCACAACAAATGAACCTGCACTTCTGGGGCAGGGCAGGATGGTCTCCTAGCTGTCCTTTACACTCCCCAGTTGATTAGAATGGACAGGTCAGTCTGAGAACTCCACACCACGGGTCTAACACCTATCATCTTGTACTCTGCAAGTCTGACAGATCTTATAGGCAAGAAAATGCCTTGATATTTTAAGCTTTCCTTACTGAAAGCATGGATCATGGGCCCACATCATCAGTATCACTTAGGAGTTTGTTAGAAATGCAAATCTCAGAAGTCCTCCCCAGGCCTCCTGACTCAGAACGAATGTGGTACAAGCTCTCCTGGGGCTCTGTCTGCACAGTGAGGTTGGGCAGTATGTGTTTGAGGCACACAGAGCCCACCTAGAGCTGGAGGGATAAGACTCTCTGGCCTCAACAGGCCATTATGAATAAATGTTCTTTCACTCATGCATGCACTTCTACTTTGTGACATCACCATCAGTCTTCTAGGCTATTCTTTGGCCTATACCTAGAGGAAAACAAACAAAAACCACTTCTCCCTACTAAGCCAGTCTTGCCAAACATTTGCTGCTCTCTGATAACACTCACAGCTCCCCAGAGCTCACCTTCATAGCCCAGAGGCCCTAACGCTCACCTGAGATCTTCTTAGCCTCAGGTCAGTTCACATAGACCTTATAGTTGTACTTCATACTCTTACAGGGGTAGGGGACAAAAGAGGCTGGACAATTATACAGCTCACTTGGCATCAGCTTTTTCCTCCCTTTTTCATAAGAATAGACAAAAAAGCTTCACTTCTTACCTTGGCATTTATATGCAAAAAGCATACTTTAAGTATGCTTTTAAAAATCATATAAAAAGAATTCACATCAGTGGGTTTTTAGAGTACAAAATGTATCCATCTAATAATGCCACACAAAAACAGAATGTTGATGAGTCAAAACTCAGTGTTTTTAAAAGTATCTGTTTTCTAGCTTTTCCACAGAGAACCAAGGACATATTATAAATGCAGCTTGATGAGAGATTTACAAAGAGAAATGCCACCATGACTGTTTTCTTGCGCAGAGGAAATAAATTAGTGAGTTCGTTAAAATTCTGGTGGAACATGATCTGTCGGGAAGAAAGGCCACGTGGTAGTTTGAATGACGACTTACTCCTTGATGATAGTTAGAAATCTAGGAAAATCTTAAATGCAAGCCCAATATTGATACTAAAAGCAAGACCATGGAATGCCAGCCCATTTATACTTTGAATATTTTTTTTTATTCACTCATGGCTCTTGGGGCTTGAATCCAAGCAGAACATTTTACTTGAACCAGAATTTGCCCTGATAATGATTGGCACAGACCTGAATTTTTAAAAGTGCATTTGAAAGAGTACTCGATCCAATTACAAGCTCTTTCCTGCTCAGCTGGAAATGGAGTGAAGCTGAATTTAGCAAGGCTATTACTGTAAGGGCCTGAGAAAGAAGGGGATTGAAAAATGTGGAATTTCTTTTTGCTAAATTTCTCTCAATAATATAATTGTAGTAATGTCTAAAATAATTAGAAATGACAATTAATTAGTCAAATTCAATATCAGCATATAAGAATAACTTAAGATAGCTCAGTGTTTCTAAGACACTACTAAATGAGATATACTATCATTTTATATATGACTGAGAAAGAAAAAAATGTTATGAATTTCAAAAATCATGAAACCCGAGAGGCAATGTATCCTAGAATTGTTGAAATTCAGTAGATTTAAAGCACAACATAAATGATACTTTCATAAGATACCAACAACTTTTCCTGTCACAAATTTAAGGTATGGTGACTTGGTGGTGATATTGCTCCTAATTAACTATAAAATATCATCCCCTTAACTGGATTTTCCAAATTCTCAGCACTTGCATACATTTTGCTTCTGTAAGCAACTATTGGGATGAAACATAAAATTTGATTAATGTAAAAGTTTTTTACTCCTTCAGGGGAAAAAATGGCAGCCAAGCATAGCCTGCAACGTGGCTAGCTTCTTTCTCACTGGAAACTTGGGTGACTATGGAAACCAGTGTGCATTTTCATCAAAATAATACTAGTTATACCTAGTGGAAGAGCCAAGAAAGGGCACACCTCTAATTTCAAATGAGCACCTAGGCCTCAGTGAAGGCCCATTTGTGGTTTGATAATATGCTGTGGCCACTGGTAAAACTGCATAAGTAGGATAACCTCCAGGCACAGCCTGATGGGCCCCAGGGCGCAGTTATCAAGATTCTGGAAAATGAATTACTGAGATGCACCATGGCCCCTTGAGCTTCTTGCCAGTGATTTAGTGTTTTTCTCCCCCAGTAAATACAGTCAAAAGGACCTTAATGGGCTAGAAAAAGCTGAAACAGAAATGTACTGTAAAATGGTTCCTTAATTTGATAAGTGGACTGGTAAGACTGGAGCATTTTCTGGTTAGGCAGACTGATCAGAGTTGCCAGAAAGTTGCTAAAACTTCACTTCAGCCACCCTGCACAGAGTTATGTCAACTTTTTTAATTCCTTAGAAATGGAAATAGAAATCCCCAGCGTGGCATTAGAGGATGGAAAACTGGCATACTCACGATGATTGGGAAGCCTTCCTTCTGAGCAAGTAGTCCACGACATCAGGGTCTGTCTCTAACAGGCTGATCAGCACTTCGTTCTGGAGATCTGGGGAAACCTGGAGGAGCCAAGCATTGAGGCATAAATAAAATCATTCCACGGAGAGGCAACTTTATGATATCATAAAACAGAGCTTTAAAAGTTATAAGAATGCAGAGTGATTTACTAGTTAAAACCAAACCAACACCAACCCATACAGCTGGTTTAATTATTAGGACAAATAGGATGGTTATCAAATAGTCATATGCAATCCAAAAGGCTACCCCTCCTATGCCGGGAGACACAGCCTAGTCATTTGGATACCTCTGTTGCACAGACTTGATGTTCTTGGCTTTGAGAAAGCAAAATATTGTAGTTAAGAGGAATGGTGTCCATAATTTACTGTCCAAATGGGGACACTTTCTAGAGTTTATACTTTGAATTATGCCAAGACCACAGGCATAAATTACAACTACCTTGGACAATTCTGGAACATACAATCAGTTTATTAGGAGAGAAGACCCTGGGGCCAGACTGCTTGAATTCTAGCTCCAACACTTCCTAGCTGTAGGAGCTCTGACAAGGCACTTCGACAAGAAGCTAACTCTCAGTGTTTCCACCTGTAAAATGGGAAAAGCAATAGGACTCACTACAAAGAGTGGCTGTGGTGATTAAGTGACTTATTTTACATTGAGGAACCAGTACCTGGTGAATGGTAAACCCCCAAAAAGAAACAAAAATGCTAACAATACCTTTGTACCTGTTACTACCATTTGGTGCCTCCCTTCAGTCTTTCTTGCTCATAGTTACAAGTCCCCCACTTCCTAGTCCACTAGCAATTAAACATTTCTCACTTTATAATTTCCTAGGCATCCACTAGCATTTTATTAATGAGCATCACATGCTTTTCTAAGCCTGATCCACATGCACTGCCTTAGGAGGTGGCCCTAAGTCACCCATGTGGAAATGTTCTATGAGAAGCATGAACCCAGCTCTGGCTCATGGTTTTCTACTCCATAGATCCTGGTAGTTCAACCAAAGGAAACTCAAACTTTTGAAAGAAAATACGTTTTCAGTCTGATTCTCTCACACATGGTCTCAGAGAGATGTTTTCAAAACCACAGGGACAAGTCTTCTGAGAATAAGTGGTTGGTGGAAGAATTTGCCTCCTGCCTCGTGCAGAGCTCAATTGCTCTTGAGCTCCGAGGAGCTGGAAACAATTTATTAATAAAAACAAGGATGAGAACGCAAGAAAACGCTTTCCTTCTCTCATAAATCAGTTCATCCTACTTCATCCTGAATCTTTATTAATGGCATTCCCAAGTCCCAGTCACATAAGCTTAAACTCTTCTAGTTGTGTTCTAGCCATTCTGTGTCCTCTTCCCATCCCTTCAGAGCTAGAAGATCTACTTGATTTCATCTCTGTTACTTCTTTCCTCCCCCTTCCATTCTAACAGCAAAGACCCAAGTTCAAGCCCTCATTACCCCTTTGTAGTGGTCATCTGTTGGCCATTACCAAGTCCACTTCCCTCTTCTTATAATAGTTATATCCTAAGTTCCCTCCTTTCCCCAACCCTCAGTTCAAGGGTAAAGTGTGCACCTTAAATGAAGTTGCCCGATCATTCCTTTCTTAGACCACCACAATGGCCTCAGAAATGAGCCTGTGGCCCCATTAGAGGCAATGCAAAACCATGAGAATTTCTCTGAGGCTTATGAGAGAAGGGACACAGCGCCTGTAGCCATATGAGGTCTGATGATTGTGCTGACAAAGAAACAAACATAAGACATGGAGAAACAAAGAGGAAAAAGGAAGGGTATCTTGATAGCATTAGAGTCTGGTGTCAAGCTATGCCCGAAGCTACAATATCTTTTCAACTTTTTAGCTGTATGATCCCTGGAGTTTCTGAAGCCAGTTTGAATTTATAGATGAAAAGAAACATAAATACTTGATGGACCTTTGATGTAAAAGCTTTCTAACTTGTGCACTGTTTCCTTAAAGTGTGCATCAAAATTCTTCTCCACATGGGTGTCAGAATGATCTGACCAAGGTACTCTCCTGCCTGGAACCCTTCCCATCCCCACAACTGCAGTCCTCCACTTGCTTGCTCTTCTCAATAAATATTTCAGGTCTTCACTCCTGGCAGCCCTCCTCCCACTCCCTCTGCTTTGCACCACTGTGCTGATCACCAGGGCCTTTTCCAGACTCTGTACCATCCACTCATTGCATAGATCTTTGGTGACTGCTTCTTGAGTGCCAGGAACTGGATGCTAGGATTCACTTACAAACCAACCAGCCAAGAGTCCTTGTCCCCGTAGAGCTGACAATGAATTCGGGGAAAATGGGCATGAAAATATAAGGAAAGCATAGCATGGATCACATGGAGAAACCCAAAGCAAAGAAGGGAAGTCAGAAATGCTGGGAGAGGTGGTGCAGGGTCAAACAGGATCGTCAAGTCATATAAAAGCTGGCATTTTATCGGAGAACCAAAGCTGATAAAGGAATTGGAGACAGTCATCCCAGACAGAAGAAAGAAGACAATCAAGGGAGACTGAGGTGGCCAGGGAGGCTGAGAAAGAGTGAAGAAGGAAGGAGGCAGGAAATAGGAGGGAGGGTCAAGTAACCTGGGTCAGATAGCGTGAAGTCCACTGTTCATGATGAGGACTCCTGCTGTTCTTCAAAGTGGGTGGAGAACCACTGGAGATTTTGAGCAGATGACTAGTACAAGTTGTCATCAGTCTGGCTGCTTAGTTGGAAGTAGATTGCAGGGAAGCCAGACATAAAGCAGGGTGAGCAGACAGGGGCTTTTGATAGATCCAGATCAGTGATGATGGGTGCTGAACCAGGACAATGAGATAGATGGTGAGAAATATCTGAATCTTGAAGATAATGTAGATGCTGACAGTAATTTATTATACAGCTAATTTATTGGATGGAAAGAAAGAGAATGAAAGGGAGAGAGGATGACCGGTACTTGGGGTCCTGAGTAAATAGGAGAATGAGGTTACCACTGACTTTCTCAGAGAAGCTCCAGGAAGAGAAGGCTGGAGGGAAATTCAAGAGTTCAGCTTTGAAATGGAAATACCGAGAGGTCTGTGAGACATCCAAGTGGAGATATCTAGTGGGTAGCTGGGAATAAAGATTTGGAATTCAGGGAAGTGGTTCTAGCTGGTCATAGACATTTAGGAGCCACACATAAATGGCATTTAAAGTTCTGAAACCAAATGGAATGGCCTGAGGATTAAAATAGAGAGAGAAGAGAAAGGGCAGAACAGTTAAGTCAAGGCTGAGAGACTGTATTCTTTTACTTTAGTGTGTAAGTTGAAAAAATCAAAAGACCAATCTTTTTTACTGGACTTTTTCAAACATCGTGACCTAACAGACATATGCAACTTGTATTAGTCACTTTTTCCATTAGTGGGATAAAATACCTGACATTTGCAACCTAAAGGAGGAAAGGTTTATCTAGCTTATGGTTTCACAGGTTTCCGTGCATGGCTGGCTGGCTCCAGGGCAGGAACATCATGGCAGAAGGGGGTGGTGAGGAAATCTGCTCAGGTCATGGCAGACAGGAAGCATAGCACAGGGGAAGAGCATAAGCAGAGCTGTACCCTCTAAAGACAAACCCCCCATGACCCACCTCCTCCAATGGGGCCCCACCTCCTAGGACATTCAGTTATGAACTCATCAGTGGATTACCTGATGAGTGTAGCACCCCATGATCCCATCACCTCTAAAGGGGTCTTTTAATCCAGCCAATGTGAAAATTAAGATTAACTGACACACTATTGTACAAGTTTTTAAAAAGTAATACTTAAAGGGTGAAAATGGGAAAAGAGAATGCTTTTTACAAAGCAAAAGGGGAAGCAAAACATAACATAACATTATATAACATAACAACATAATATAACATAGGCCAGAATGTATATCCTTAACTCTTTTTAAAAAGAAATATCCAGGAGCAAATTAGGAAAAGTGCTTGCATTTTGGTCCAGTTAATTTAGAATGGGCCAAGCTTAGACATGTGATAAAACTTTTTGCTCCAAGTACCAATCCATTCCCCCTGAAAAATGAACAAGAGTAAATATCCTTCGGAATGGCGCAGTGATTGCCGTATTAATCCTTTGAGAGTATATGATGTCTGATGATAAATTATCAACTTGTATCATTAGAATAATAATTTTTTATTAGAATAGGTTACAGAAAGTATCATTATTTAAAAATAACTTTCCACAAATTTTTGTTAACCTATTCTGCATTTCAGAAGTTTCCATTCATTCAACTAGGCTTGATTGCCAAGCAATTATAATTCTTGAATTTTATTTTATGTAGCATATGTGACTCTTACTTGGTAACAAATGCAAATAAAAAAGGCTGGAGTTGTAGATCAGTCTATAGTTTAAGAGACTTATGATACAATTTTGGCATGGAGATGCTATTTACAAGTAAATAAAAAGATACAGTTAAAATGTGGATTCACACATTATAGGAAAGATTTATAATATTTCCTTATATTATAAAAAACTCACTGTAATATATATATTTCATTAATTAACCCAATTTATTTGAATCCAACCTTTGCTGCAAAATGACTTAAGAAAACTTCAAAACTTCCTATGATAAAATCACTTATTTTTTAAAAAAATAAATGAATGGTACAGAATCCTAGATTCAGTGGAAAAATGAGGTGGGGAATTTGAATGATGCCTAGAGTCGATCTTAAAGTCCTCATATAGCAATGTCTAGTGATCTTTTTTCTCATTACTCTTTTAATCTTTTTCTATGATCGTTCATTTCATTTCCTATTATTTAATGAAAATTTAAGACTACAAGCTCAGTTCAACTGGATGAACATTCATTATCTATTAATTCAGGTACTTAATAGAGAATCAAAAGTCAAGTAAATAAACTGATAGGAAAACCCAACTTCAAATATGTAAGAAGGAAATATCCAGGCAGACTACTCACTCCTGCATACCTTTGTGGGAGTTAAGATGCTATGAAGATGTATCTGAGTCTAGAGGCCCTGAGGTCCAGTTTTAGTTCTGCTGCTTATAATTAATACAATCTCGGTGACATCA